AGCAGCTGGATAATGCGGTAGTTGAGAGCGGAGAGAAACTGAGCACTGGAAGCTCCCTTCCTGACTTGTGTTTGTCCCTCCACCAACGCTTGTATAAATAGTGTAGAATGACCTTGTGAAGCGCCTCGGTTCGAACACCCTTGGAAATAGACTGGCATGGTCCCTTGGAACTGTCTCGCACCCAGCAGAAACCATTGTCGATGTGGACCTGGAAAGTGCCTGACAATAAGGCCGAATGGTAAATGTTCGTCTGATGAACACAAAAAATGTACCAACGGACTCTTGAAGTCTTAAGGAGTACGAATCTAGGTTCCAAATCGACAAATGTCAAGAAATTGCTGGACATTGACACGCGCGAAGTTCTCAGGATCAGCCATGGCGGCCTTATGGATTCAGGCTGATACATCACCAGCATCACGATAGAAGTTCTGTTATATGCTAAAGAAAGGGTAACTGAGCTGAAAATAAAGCGTACATGTGCAAAGTTGGACCCGCCCTGACACTGTATGGAACATGCTGGTTTTTTTTTTTTTTTTTTTTTTGCAATGCAGTCTGTATAGAACACGCTTGTATTAAAATGGTGTACTAAATTTATCTGATTACCTTTCTTGGGGGCAGGAGGGAACATTCCTTTCCTACACCTCCTCAACTGATGCAATCGTGCACTCTAGACGTGGACTTCCATGGCAAAATCTCGAGGTTTTGACACACACTTTGACGCGACAAACAGACACGCTGCTGGTGCAACTTGTGACACGACCCCTTCCAGTGGTTTCTGGAAGGAGAGCGCCCTTCGGGTCGGGAGCATTTATCGCGAATTTACTTTGTCCACTTTGGAAGAATGGAGCTGTAACTGTAGATGTCGCTGACAACCAAGATCACTCCGATTCAGTGGTCGCGGGCTCAGATTTTGGTCTCCTGCTGAAATGAGTGTAACACGTACTTTATATTCACGACACAGAGGGTAGGGGAGGGGATGTCCCTGCAAATCAGCTAGTTTGCCCCTCTTTTTCACCGTTTTTTTGCGTCGTGATTGGTTCCGTTGCTGTGCGCAGTGGTGGAAAAGAACCGCCTTTCACCGCGCGGTACCATCATTTCCAGTTCCCTGAACCCACTTTCTCGTTTCCCACAGAGCTGCTGTTTGGTGTACAAAGGGAGCCCCAGGCCCCCCCTCATCGAGTGGGTATGTACACGTACAGTACATACGGAACGGAAACTGGTTCCCTTCCAGCTACTTGGAGGTTTGTGTGTGTGTGCACTGCTGTGCCTGCAAGTCTTAACTGTATGTGGAGATTGGTTTGGATTTGTTTAGCGTTACCGCGTAATTGCGTCTGTGCATGACGTAGCTAGCGACGAGAACGTCCTCGAAGAGTTGAGTGTTCATCAGCAAGGAAAACCTTTCTAGGTTTTTCTACCAGTACACAGACACCTGGAGTTCTCGACGACTTGATTGCTGCTCCTACTCATCCACAACCCACAGTCAGATTTGGGCTTCTTAGCGTAAATGTTTCTACCGATAGGGTTTTTTCAAGAGACGAATGAGCCAAAGAAAACAAGTGCAGCAGCCTTCGTCTTTGATGCTGACCTGGGTTGTACACCTACATGGCATCCTTGATACAGCGCAGATTCTAGGACGCCCATATGGCCATCGGCGTGATACAGTACACAAGCGCGTGAAAGCTACCGCGTTGGATAAGCTTGCCATCCTTTCCACTCTCGTTTGAATGGCTCGTTTTCGGGCATCCCTCAGCAGAGCGTAGAATGCGAGCTGGTCCTTCAAGACGAGATCCCATCCCAACCAGGGCTGTCGAAGTCCCTGGGACCAAAACTTTGAGTCCTGAGGTGCTCAAATTCTGGCCCTGATTTTCACGGGCGCAGGCCAAAATCAAGGCTTAAAATCCGCGCTTGAGCGCAGGCGGTCGTTGTTCACCACGGTGATGTAAGTGACCATGGGGGTGGGGACGACGTTGGATATGAAACGCGCAGAGCCCACCATGTGCTGCCCACAGCAGCTATCGAGGTACCACGTGTTGTGGTGCCTGTGGTCATCGCGCGTGAGGAGCGCAAGTCGCGGCGTGTCGAACTTCAAAAATTGTTCGCGCGTGATCCAGTCTATGGGCGCCGCTCAGGAGTCAGGGATGTGTGGGGGCCTCTCAAGGAGCGGGACTGGAAGATTCCAGTCTTGATCATCATCGTCGTTGTAATCGTGATCCATGGTGAAAAGATTGTTTTGCGCAAACGCCCCGATCGGATGTGGTGCTAGTTCGGGTAATGGTGTGCGTATGCAGCGTTGATGAGTTCCCCATGAGTGGCGCATTGCCATGTTGCTGATGACATTGCCGTGAGTGGCTGCTGTTGCTGGTGCTGAACCGGAGGGTTCGAGTTGCACGATACGGGCTGGAAGCCTTGGGCTGGACGCGTATCTTGCCTTGCATCTTGTCAGCTGGCCCAAGTGCTCCAATTGGACTGGCGAGGGCTAAAGCAGAATTCGCATCGCTCCACTAAATGCCCGAAGTTTCCGTGGATTTTGCAGTAAAGGCGCCGCGGTCGTCGCTAAGAGCGACGTAGGAGAGTTGTTCTCGTTCGTCGCTAAGTTCATCGCTCCACTTTTTCTGTTTCTTTGTTATCGACGTAGAAGGCGAGTTGTTCTCGTTCTCGTCGTGGCGCGAGGCGCTGATGATCCATATCCTGTTGTTCCACAAGATGGGTGGCGCAAAGGGCGGCTTCCAAGTTAGCCCCCTGTTGCCGGAGGAGCGCCTTGCAGGGCCGCCATTCGGGGCCGAGTCCTGCGAGCACGATGGTGACGAAGATTTTATCCGAAATTGAGCTCCCATGCTTCGCGATTTGATCGCGTATGCTTCGCCTACGATTAATGTTGTTGTCTGCCTTCTCCCCGGGTCCCATCTTAATCTCCATCATTTGTTGAAGGAGACGGCTCGACGACATCGAATCCTTGGGCTGATACCCCTTTGTGAGGTGTCGCCAGCCTCGAGTCCCGGAAGAGGTGATGTTTTGTATGATCGCATGCCCAGCTGCTCCGTCAGCGACATGTTGCGTAGCAACACGCTGTTCGCCATGAGTTAGTCGTTGTAGTACTGCGCTGTGGCGTCGTCAGTGTCGGCCAAGGGTCCCGCGCAAGCCTGTTGAAGTCCCTGGGACCAAAACTTTGAGTCATGAGCTGTTCGAATTCTGGCCCTGATTTTCACGGGCTCAAGGCGAATTTAAAACTTGAAATCCGAGCAACTTAGGACAGTGTACTTAGCCCTACTGTAACAAAGGAGGATGTCAACCTAATACTATGTAGAAGGGAGAAGCTTACAGAAACCTATAGCCTATTCATCGTAGGCAAAAACAACAAGGGGAGGGTGAGGGGCGGGGAGGGTAGGAAGGGGCGGGAATTGGGGGGTGGGGGTCCCTCGAAACAGAAACCAAAACTTGGATTCAGAGGAAGGCCCAAACGAGGCCCTTAACTGTCACAGGTGCCATGCGAGTCCAGCACTTAAAACGGTCGAGCTGCTCTGAGGGTAGCCCGGAATGTTCAGGGCATTAAGGGCAAATGCCCTTACTTCGACCGCCCTGGTCCCACGTAGCTGCCGTCAAAATAATGAAAAATCTGTGCATTTTGCAACAGCAGCTCCAGCTCAAAGCTCCAGGTATAATAATTTTGCCGTATAATAATGCTCCTTTTATTCATTGACATGTCCAGGAACCTTGATTGAGCTGAGAGAATTGTGTCATCGCTTGGGCGTGCGACTTTGGGTGTTGAAGCATTTGTGTCGAGAGAGAAGGTTTGCGGGGCAGTTTCACGGCCAGTCGCGGCCGGTCGAGTGGGTTGGGAGGAGGTTCCCGCATCTCCATTCCATAATGTCTGGAGCCCTTGATCCAGAGTTGAAAGTCGCTGAAGCAGTTGTTCGAGTGCGACGGAGCTGATCGTCGTCGTCGCCTCGGATGATTTCCTGGACCTCCTGATCCTCTGGCCATTCTTACGCGTGAGCGTGTGGCGGACGCCACTTTAGTTCACCGAGAATTTTGGGGGTGGCAGCGCGAAGTATTCATGAGTCATTCTGATACCATGTTGCAATCAGAAAGTTAATCTTGCCTAGGATCACCCGAGGAAGGTTCACACAGAGTCAATTGCAATGGAAGTATTGACCTCAGATCAGAGTGAGTATAAAATGACTCAAGTTATTATAACCAAGATATAAATGCGTATTTAGTAATACAAAAGGGAAAACAAAACGTCCTAGCTAGCCATGTATTCTAAGGGGTATATTTCCTTATTGCAACGAAACTCAACCGCACAACTCCATATGCTTACAAACATGTTTCCGCCTGAATCCTTCGTGCTACAGCTGCTTGATGATTCTGCTCCGACGGTCCAGATTCTGCCAACCATACGCAACCTTTCTCGTCATTCTGACCCTTCGCCATCATACTCGCTATTGTACTTCTCACTTGCCACTGATAGAAATGCACAGTGATTCTCAATTCACTATTTGTAACAACCTGCTACTTAACAAGCAGTTTTATCCTGGTGGTTTAGTTGCTGAGATTTTGACATGGTATAGAGCGAGGGTCTCGGGCTCAAATCCCCATGTGTGCACATGTTGCGCTGCCGCTGTGCCGTGTCCTATAGCATCCATGTGAGGGGGGTGTCAGAAGAGCAACACTGGGGATGGCCGATTGCTAGGCTACACCCCTAACTGGGGTTGTACTCTATATTGAGCACCTCACTGTAGCCTAGCAGAACTAACAACATAGAAATATGTTTTGATAGGAATAACTAAAGGATCTACAGCTGAAGTCTCGTAAAGACGTTGTTCATAGTGAATGTAAATGACAAGACGATTATACTGAAACATTGCTATGGAATATATAGTCATAAGTAGCAATGTACTCCGAAGGGTATATTATCTTATAAAAAACGTAAACCGTATTACAGGTAACGATATAGTAGCTTGAATATTCTTATGCATGCTCTTACCTGGTTGCAACGGCGTATGCTAGGTACTACTAGTGACAACGACATGGGCGCAGATAGGCGCGGGCGGCAGCGGGCTGCGCAGGGCGTCGCGGGCAACGCAAGTGGCGCGGGCGGCTGGCTAGCTTTAGCACCGCGCTGACGGAGGGGGGAGGGGTGGGGGGGAGTGTCCGAATAGTAGCTATAGTAACTTAGGAGGAACCATAGTTAGAGTATCGTGAGTGGTGAGAGGGTTGAACAACGAGAAGGGGGTTTCACTAAGAAAAAAAGGTACAAGATACAGGTGGCAAAAAGGGGGGTACACTACTAAGGGACAGAATAGGATTGTAATACTACACTAACTAGCATGTATGCAGTTATATAAGAATTTTTAATTCTAACATCCCCCCTTGACTGCATGCAAGACTAGCTATTGAGGGGCGCTCTTCCCAAAGTGCTGCAATCACCGACCGCAGCTGGGACCACCGTGGTGAAGTACCACGGCAGGTGCCCGCCTGCAATTTAATCCCTACAGCGGGTGCCAGTGTGCGCGTCGGGGGCGACCACGCCCAGAAACGACGGTAACGAGGAGGAGGAGGAGGAGGAGAAGGAGGAGGAGGAGGAGGAGGAGGAGGAGGAGGAGGAGGAGGAGGAGGAGGAGGAGGAGGAGGAGGAGGAGGAGGAGGAGAAGAGAGAAGAGGTGCAGCGGAAGAGAGATGGTATCACGATTAAAATAGAAACAGAAAACACACCCTCAACCTCCTCCTCCCCCCCCCCCCCAACCACAACAACGATAAGTGTTGCAGAGAGAGAGAGACAGTGGAAGAGGAGGGGTCGAGAGGCAACTATTGATGGCTGCCTGATCACACCCGTCACCACCCCCTCACCATCATTCCCCCCACGGCGGAAGCAGCGGCAGGGTGGAGGGACGGCTGCTGGCTGGTCACACCCGCGACCCCCACACCCTCCCCCCCCTCTCCACTGGTGCACGAGCAGCAGTGAGAGGGAAGAAAAGCCAGGTGGCGGCGGATCAGACGGCGCAGAAGGAGTGTGGCGCCAGGAGCTGCGTCAGCCACCACCGCCACCCTCGTCGCCTCCCCCCACGGCTGATGCTGCTCATAATGGGGGCGGGGCAGCGCGTGGGGTAGCGCACGCATTTGTGTGCGCGGCTGCTGCTGCGCGTAACGGGGACGAGGCAGCGCGTGGGGCAGCGTGCGTGATTGCGTGCATAGCTGCTCCACGCGATGCTCGTAATGGGACGGGGGGGTGGGGCAGTGTGGGACGGGGCGGGTAGGGCGGGGCGGGCAGCGAGCAAGTGCTGCGAAGGGCGCCTTCACGGGAGCCATCGGAGAAAATGGTGGGCGCATGATTCTTAAAAAATGAATAGAAGGTCCTAGGCAGGGCCTATTTATCAAGGTATTTTACCCTTTTTGCCTAGACCGTAGGCCGCTTTTTCCCAGTTACCCTTGCCAAACCAGCCTATGGAAATTTTTACCCTAGCGTAAAAAAACTAAGGTTTGAAGTACACTGATAAATTTTGATTTTACACGGACTGTATCAGGGTACGATGCCAAGTACACTGATACCGATTTTTTTTTTATACCTCGAATTCAGCCACACATCACGTGAAGACAGAAGTCACCACAGTCACCACACAGTCCGAGCAAAAGCAAAGGGCCACAAGGCCAGTTCACATGCAGAGTTATATAAAAGAGAACAAACAATACAATGATCATACCCTAGCAAGTGTAAGCATGCAGGTACATATATAGATCACAGTACAAGCAAAGTCATGCAGTGAGCAAGTGAGGCAAAGTAGGCACAAGGCCTAAAACAGTACCTAAGCGCTGATGATCACTAGACTGAAGTGCCTTGGTGAATATATCAGCAGTGTTGGCCCTAGTGGCCACGTAAGCAAGACGAAGCTGACCACGCTGCTGCAAATCTCGAGCAAGGAAGTAACACAGAGCGATGTGCTTCGTTCTGTGCTCCAGTCTGTGCTCCTGACACAAGGCAATCATGGCCTTGTTGTCTACGTACAGAACTGGAGAAGAATGAGGCGGCTCTCCCAAGTCGGTCAGCATGTAGGTGAGCTAGCGTCAGTCCTGTGCAGCCATGGCCCCTGCGTAGATCTCAGCCTCATAACTGGAACTGAGAACAGAAGACGAGCGGAAAGACCGCCAAGAAACAGAGCCGGAGCCAAGGCTGAAAATGTAACCCAGTGATGACCGCTGAATAGCCAAGTCGTCAACCCAAGAAGCGTCTGCGTGACCAGTGAGGACAACTGGACCCCGTCCTCCAAGCACGAGCCCCATGCCCGACGTACTACACAACTAGCGCAATACCCTCTTAGCGGCCTCCCAATGCTCTGGTCAGTGTCTCCCATGCGCAACGTAGCGTGCCAGGATGCTAAGAGGGTAGGCAAGGTCAGGTTGAGTGCAGGTCATTAGATACATGAGGCAACCCACAAGCTCTGGATATGGGCCACTCGGCTCTACGGACTCGTCCGAAGGTGGAGCTGAGAGCGAGTGACCGGTAGGCAGAGGAGTGGACTGTGGCGAGGAGTACCGGAAGCCGAAGCGCTGAAGGACCTGGTGCACCATGTGTGACTGAGTCAGGGTGATGGTGCGCCGTGCTCTGTCCCAGGTGATCTGCAAGCCAAGATAGTTGCGCAGCTCACCCAGGTCAGTGCAGGTGTGTCTCTTCTGTAGCTCCGACTTCACAAGGGCCAGTGCCTCAATGTCAGCAGTGGCAAAGACCAAGTCGTCGACGTACACGAGGATGTAGAACGGCGGCAACGAAGTGTCGGTGCGAAGAAACAGCGACGGGTGAGCAGTAGAAGGAGCAAACCCAAGAGCCGCAAGCGTCGTCCTCAGTGTGTCGTACCACTCGCGAGGCACCTGGCGGAGACCGTAGACTGGCCGCCGGAGGCTCCACTGGGTTCCTGCAGGAAACAACCCAGTGAAGCTAGGTGGGCGGCGCAGCCAGATCTCCTCGTGCAGGCTGCCCTGTAAGAAAGCCCTGCTGAAGTCAAGAGAGTGAATCTCGTAGTCACGTTGAGCGGCGGCATGCAGCAGTACCCGAACAGTAGTCATCTTCAGGGTAGGGGAGAAGGTCTGGAAAAAGTCAACTCCCTGTCGCTGACTGAAGCCTCGTGCGTCGTAGCGAGCCTTGAAGGCAGGCGAAGAACCCGGCGCTTCACCCTGAAAATCCACATGCCATCAACTATGTTTGTCCCAGGAGGGGGAACTGCATTGACGTAAGTGCCTGTGGAATTCCGGGATGCCATCTCTGCATCCATGGTTGTCTGCCACTGAGAGGATTAGGGACCCGTAATCGCCTCTGCGTAAGAGCGCGGGGTCGGGATGTCTGGTGCATCCGGGTCTCCCTCAGGTGCAATCAGCATGGACACGAGATGAGGTAGAGCAGCTGCAAAACACTCAAAATCCTCCTGCCTGTCCTCAAGGACGTCCGTGCCAAGAGCACACTCACCCCCGACGGACGGAGGACAGTCAGACTCAGACTCAGCAACAAGACTAGCGACGTAGTTGAGACGACAGGCGGCAGCAAAGTCAACAAGCTCAGCAACAAGGGCAGACGCAGCAGCAGACTCAAACGAAGGTTCAGTGACAACAGTGGCTAGAAGACGAGGGACAGTAGGATTGGCAGCACGAACTAAGTCAGACTCAGGGTCCAGACCGTCAGCAAGAGAGGACGCAGGAGGAGACAGCAGGGGGACACGCTGTGGAATAGAGGAAGGACGAAGTGCCATATGGTGCGTGCCGGGGACAGGAGGAGGACGCTGACGAGGAACACGGCGACCAGTGAAAACAACGCGAATAGGCGAGGCAGGACGAGACACAGGCTCACGACGCTCTGTAAGACCTCCAGTATGCTCAGTGTAAGGAGAAGGAGCAGGCAGTGGGGAGGCTGGCAGTAACGGCGACTGCGACTGGTCAGGCGGTGGACACAGTAAGGGAGGAGTAAGGCCAGTAGAAGACGGAAGACCAAGAACCTGCTGAAGCAGGGGAACGAAGTACGGTCGTGGCCGTCCAGTGTCTCTAGAACCAGCACCAACAGCACCAGCACCCCCAGGTCCAGCGCCTCCAGCTCCGGTGTCTCCAGCTCCAGGGTCCCTAGCTCCAACGCCTACAGCACCACCAGCTCCAGCAGATCTAGTACCTCCAGCAGATCCAGTACCTCCAGTACGAGCACCTCCGGGACCAGCGGCTCCAGTACCTCCAGCAGCTCCAGCTCCAGTGCCTCCAGCTCCAAATCCTACAGCACCTCCAGCTCCAGCAGCTCCAGTACCTCCAGGACCAAGAGCTCCAGTGCCTCCAGTGGCAGACCCCCCGGCTCCAGCAGCGCCACTCCAAAGGCGCGTGCGCCGAGCAAACCACTCGCGCAGCTGCGGTGGAGAGAGAGGCTCCGGCTACGACAAGGCACCCGGAGGACCTCCAATAGACAAAGTACCCCCAGGCTTAGCACCCCCACGCTCCGCACGCTCAGGCTCAGCACCTCCAAGCTCAGCACCCCCAGGCTCAGCACGCTCAGGCTCAGCACCCTTAGGCTCCGCACCCTCAAACTCAGCAACCCCAGGCTCCGTACACGCAGACTCAGTACCCCCAGGCCCCGCACCCGCCGGCTCAGCACCCCCAGACGCAGCACCCCTAGTAGCACCACCCCCAGCAGTACCAGAGTCGACAACTACCTCGACATGCTCGACAGGGTCTACCTGAGACACACCTGAGGGAGCAAGACCCTAAGGGGGGAGAGGGTCTATCGGAGGGGGACCTAGAGCAAGGAAGAGCGGCGGGGGTGGGAGAGGGGCAGAGCGGTAGGGGAAGAGACGGTAAAAGGGAACCGACTCGTCAAACGTGACGTCCTGAGAGGGAAGATACGGCGCGAGGTGGGGTGGTAAAACGGCCAGCCAGGCGCGTCAGGGGGAAAGCCAAGGAAGACGCAGGGAATAGCGCGGGCGGAGAGCTTGTCCGCGGACGTATCGCGAACAAAGGCACATGAACCCCAGACCTGGAACACCGACGCATCGCCAACCTTCCCCGTCCAACGCAGTGTAGGCGAGGTCTCCAGCAAGGAGACACGGGGCCAGAGGTTGAGCTGATGCGCAGCGTACCGGACCGCAAATGGCCACAAGAAATGGGGAGTAGCCGCATGGATCATGGAGGTACGAGCGACCTCCATGACTAAGCCAATGCGGCGCTCAGCAATCCCATTTTGCTGCGGGGAGGCCAGAAGCGTGAACAACTGGAGAATGCCCTCCCCACGACAAAAGAAATGCAAGAGGTCGGAGGAGAACTCACCACCTCTGTCAGAGTGCAGACGCAGGATAGGAAGGTCCTGGCGGAACCGCTCGCGGAGCTAAACGGACTGCGCGGATCCAAGGGATCAAGACATCAGGGACCTCACCCTTGCTGCGCAAGGGGAAGACCATGTTGTAACGCGTGTAGTCGTCAACAACCAGCAAAAAGTAGCGCTCGCGGCCCTGTCTAGTGACGTGGGCTGGGGCCCACACGTCCATGTTGAGAGTCTGCTGTGAGAATGATAGACGAAAGAATGATTGAATTAGGAAATGAGAAGGGTACAAGTAGGAAACACATAAGTGTTGTACCCTCTAAGGACTACCCCACTACAGCCTAGACCGACTATAGTAAATATATGTTTGACACACCCCCATAGGCAAAGTGGGGGAGAACAAGGGGTCACAAGACCAGTCAAGAAAGACAAAGCAAACTCAGGGTGGATCACAAAGTCACCACACAGTCTGAGCACAAGCAAAGGGCCAGAAGGCCAGTTCACATGCAGAGTTATATAAAGGAAAGCAAACAATACAG